TGCATTATAAAGTACAAAAATATATTTAATTAAAAAGAAAAAGTATTAAAATCAAATTAAATGTGTCGTGGTTTTATACGGAATGCACAGCCAAAAACAAACTTTTTTCGATATCTTTTTTTCTTTCAGATAAAGTTCATATTTTTTTCACTGAAAAGGTGAGATTAAGCCTTCAGAAAAATCTTGCATACAAGAATTTTCCATATCACTCTTTTTGCTTTAATTATACAAGAAAAACGAGTGGTTTTATACGGTCTTCGCGGAGTGTAAGACAAATTACTCAACATTGAGATAATTATTTTCTAATCTCCTTCCTTTAAATCTCTTTAGTCTTATTTATCTTAATTGCTATTATACTTCTGTAACAAAGAATAATAATCAATCATTTGCAGTAATTTTATCACGTACAAAACACAATTGGTCAAAGGACCGCATTATGACGTACAAGTTAAAATGACTTCTGAAAGCAAAAACTGCTTCAATAACGAAGTCACCTCAAAAATAAATCATAAGTAGAATCAAAACAGATAGAAAATGTCAATTAGTGCATATTTTTTGACAATAGCAGTTCAGATAAAAACGCATTGCAATAAAAATTTAAAATAAAATTTTCATTGCAAATCACACATAAAATTCTTTTTAATAATAAAATATCTTTAAATAAATTAATTAATGCACCAAATCCACTCTTTTCCCTTCTCTTTTTCTACTAAAACAAACAAAAAAATGATAAAAACTCGAAAAATGATTTGATAAAAAAACTGATTTGTTGACATGAAAAATCGTAAAATTCTTGATAAATAATTGAAGGTGTGTTTCGGAAAAGATCTCTAAAAGGTAACTAACGAACAATATGAAAAATCAAAACAGAAAAACCATTTTTTAATAAATGAAATAAGCTTTTTGTTAAGTTTCCTTTCTTTAAATATGTATTGGGGGAAGATAAACTTTAATTTTGATTTTCTTTACATAAAACAATTTTTCTGTTCGTTAAAAGCTTTTCATCTGTCTAGATGTTATTATTATTATTATTTGTTGTTCAAACTTTATTCCAATATCTTTACATGTTTTGTTTATAATTCAATGGGATAATTTCTGGGTAAATTTTGTTTTAATTTTCTTTCATTTATCCTTGCAAAATGTTATGATATTTATGTACGTTACATGATGAATAGATTTCAATAAAGTTGCTTTGCCCTGTCTCTCTTTCTATATTTATCTAGTCATGATAAAGAACATTTAAATCATATTTAGTAAAGCATTCTTACAAAAAGTTTAAATAAGCAAAGCATGTTTAATGAAATATTTAGCAATCAAACTTAGTTATCGAAATAGCTAAAAAAATCATTGTAACGTACATAATTTTATAATCAACAGTTCATTATTATAATTTGGTGAAAACCCTTCTTCTCTTTCATGTCTTTTCACTCTTAAATCTTAAACTGCATTTAAAGTTTGATCTTCTTAAAACTATTCTTTGGAAAGTGAAACAAAGTTTTATCAATACTCACTCATATCTTTCTCACCAAACTCTGGTTTGATTTTTTTAAAAGCAGCTCGTTTTTTATTTTCTTTTGGATGAAATGAAATTGAGCGCAGCTTTCTATGCCAAATGCTTTCACCCAAAGCCTAAAGCTTTTAAAAACGAGCTTGCTATAATCTGAAAACTTAAATTGCTTTCATTTTTTTTTTATTTTCTTTATCTTATTGTTTATTTAATCTGAGTTTAACAATTATGAGTTAAGGTTTAGTTTAATAAAAAAATATTAAACTGCGGGCCAAATCCAATGGTATACTTAAAAAAATAAAGAAAATAATTAAATTGATTTGTTAGTTGCCCAATCGAGGGAACTTTTCTGAAACCGTTGCTATCACGTCACTCACGTAAAACAATAAAATAAGGAAAATCTTCAAGTCACAAAAGAGATCGCAATTTTTTTTAGTTCACAACAATTCACTTTAAAAATTTTCTATTATGATTTTTCTTAACAACTCTGAAATGAAATTCAAAGTCCACACGATAAAAATCTCAGGTAAAAGTTTCATACAAAAAATTAAACAAAAAAAAGAATTTCTTTTAAACATCTTGCGCCTGAAGCTTTCAAAGCTCGTATGAAGAGTTAATCGAATCCGATTTTTCCTCGAAGAAACTGACAACCTCATTTCCTAAGTTTTGCTATTTTTAACAAACTAATGTTAAGCGTGATTTTGTTAGTTTCATTGCCAATTTACCTTTTCGTTCTTTTGTTGCATTTTATGTTTCCGTTTTATCTCAAATATTAATGGTGGTAACATAGTAATGGTTTCAATCTAATCTGAGCCTTAAATGACATTCAATAATAATTGGAGAGGATGAAATTCGATGTTTGATTATGTTCCTTTAAAGCTTTCTTTTTTTATGATTACTCATTGTAATGTCATTTTAGTTTTCAAATCATTTTGATTCATTTACAATTTTTATTTTAAATTTTATTTCAAGTTTTGCTAATTTATTTAACTTTGTCAATGTTTTCGTCATGTTTTAAATCATAAAAAATATTTTTATGTCATGAAAATTTCGCACTGTTTTCTTCACTTATCACGCAACTTTCTGACATTTATTGTCAATTTAGATGTGCACAATGATTTATTTGTTCGATATGTTAAGTTGCTGTAGATTTTAAACTCGATTGTCTTTATTTCTCTCTTTTGTCTATCAGAAAATAAAATAAAAATGAAAATTAAACATTAATCGTTTGTTCTGAATTTTCTCAGGAGGTACAACACGGGCACAATGGGAAGACGTTACTGGGTCAACGCCTCTCACATTTGTTAATGACTGCGTCTCATTTACAACAACTGTCTCAGCCAGATTCTGGTTGATGGATTGTCGTAACATTGCTGATGCTACAAAAATGGCTACCGAACTCTACAGGTAAATTTTTCTATAATTTTTTTTAATTTTCATTCGCTGATCTTCACAAAAAAATTGAATTTGAAAACAGGGAAGCCATTCACGTTCCTTTCATGGCAAAATTTGTTGTGTTTGCGAAACGCGTTGATCCGAATGAAGCTAGATTGCGTGTTTTCTGCATGACCGATGATCGTGAGGATAAAACACTTGAACAACAAGAACATTTCACGGAAGTAGCGAAAAGTCGTGATGTTGAAGTTCTCGAAAATAAAATTCAATACTTGGAGTTGGCTGGAAATCTTGTTGCAATTACAAAGTCAGGAGATCAACTTCAATTCCCTTTCAAGGCATTTAAAGAAAATCGTTTGCCTTTCTCGGTTCGTGTTAAAGATCAACATGCTGATACAGTTGGTCGTGCATTGTTTATGCGTGAACCTAAAGTTGCTAAAGGTGAATCACCACAATCACCAATTTGCATTTTAAATATTGTCCTGCCAGAAGATATCATCCCAGATTCTTTGTCACTTCTTGACGAAAGTCATGATTCCATCACCCGCGTAGATTGGTCACAACGACTTCGTCAACCCACGATTGAATACCGTACAATTGAACTTAGAACCAGTGACATCTCCAATCTGTTAGGAGAAGATTGGATTAAGTTAGCACCAGAAATTGGCATTTCTCATGATGAAATCGAGAATATTATTGAAGATTATCCGAATAGCACAGCACAGCAAGCTCAAGCTATGTTGAAATTGTTCCAGAATAAAAAGCAAGACATCAACATTCTTGAAAACGGTTTACGTGCAATTGGACGTGATGATATTGTTGATCGCTGTCTGACACAAACGTTAACCACGACAACAACAACGACAACTCAAGTGATAAAACGTCATCCAAAACGCACAAGTGAAGCTAATGGCTATGAAGAAGGTGACATGATCAAAGATTCGGAATCTTTAGAAGAGTTGACGAAGAAACGATATGGTCGTTATGAACATGATGAAAGCAAATATTCAGCTGAAGAGAAAGCAATCGATTCGGAAGATGACGATGAAGTTGTTAAGAGAACAGTCGCTGAAAGACGTGAGAAGATTGTTAAGCGTCTTTCTGGTGAACAGAAAGCTCCACCATCAGCACAAAAGAAAGAAATTGTTGAAGAAATCATCACAATTAAACGACAAAGTTTAATCGATGACACGAGAGCCAAACATGAAGATGAAATTCTAATGCAGAAACCTGTTGATAACTCTTACAAGTCTGCCGTTGTTCCCGAGCAAGTCGTCAAACTTAAGACAACAACACATGACAGTTCATCAGTTGACAAGTCTGATTTTGAGAAAGAACTTCAGGACAAGTTCCAGAAGACTTTGGGTGATGTCGATAAGTTTGAACATCAATACAAACAAGAAGTTATTCCAGCAACACATAATTTCCTTGCTTCAGAGATTCAACATGCAGGCTTTGACGACTCTCCAGTAAAGACAGTCAAAAAGACGACAACAATCACTGAAACTGTTTCTGGTGATACAAATGGAAAGTTTACAACAGAACGTGATAATTCACCTGTCGTGAAGAAACGTGAAGTCGTAACAACAACTTATACTGATGATGATGGTTTCACGACAACACAAACTAAAACTGTTTACGATCAAGGTGAAGACATTACTCGAGAATTCCTTGCAAGAGAAACTATGGATCCACGAGTTGTTGATGATATTTTGGAAGAAGCACGTCAGAAAGCCGGCACCATTCAGAGTAAAGTGACGACAAAAACAACAACAGTTCCAGGAGAAACCAAAGAAACAATAACCACTACGACAACCGTACGAACGATCGAAAGTATTAATCTCGATGATGTCAGTGATGGACGTCGTGATTACTCCGATGATGAAGAGCTCATAAAAGGAAAGAAAGTGGAATCGGGTAAGGGAAAAGATTAAAGAAAATGTTTAATACAAATAAATAA